AAAAAACAAACTTTTTTTTTTTTTTTTTTTTTTTTTATTCCTTTTCGTCCTCCCTACTCGAACAAGCCAACCGACAGCCTAACAAAATAACAAAAGGGTAATCATTCACAGCGGGCGAGGGTCGTACCTTTGACGCGAAGCCAATATTTTATGGGCTCATTGCAACCTTTAAATTCCCCTTCATGTGCCACTACCATCTTTGCTATGTAATATGCTCTTGAGTAGTTACTCGCATGCGCGTGTACTACTTACGAAGAAAGGTGGACCCACGCACAGCAGGAAAATTCCCTCAACCTGGCCTACCCCTTCACCATTTATTAAAAGAGTTCATCCTAGTGAGATAGTATAATACCCCCATTCGCACCTCTCTAAAGGGACATTTTATACAGTCCTGCTTGCCTCCGCGCGACGCTGCGACTGCATAACGCAGAAGAAAGGAAAACCTCCTCGAAATTTCTACCCCCCTTCATTCGCACACTAACCCCATGGCCATAATTGGCAAGATTATAAGCAGCTTAAAGCACACATATGTGTGTGTCCGGAGGAATCACATGGTGAGTCCTCCACGCGCGTATGGGTAGCGAGTAGCACCGTGTAGCATCGTGCGACATGGCAACGCGGTGGTTGATCGAGCGCCGCTTCACTGACCCACGTGTTTCACCCAACCAACCTCAGGATTTCCACGGCCAGAAGCTCGCATTTTTAATAAAGAATATCGTGTTCACCCTCAGCACAGTTGTTTCCATTGCAGTTGGTTATTACAAGCAGGACTTAGCCTTGAGTGCCTACATCATTTTGGCCGGTACCGTCTTGTCTGCACTGGTAGGGATAGGGGGACAGTGGCCACGGTTTTTGTTGTCACGCAAGACGTACGTGTGTGTACATCCGCCTGGCGGGGTTACTCCTAATTAGCCCCCCGCAAAAGAGAGCGCATATTTAATGCCCCATTCATTAAACGCCTCGACTCCCTACTTCGCTACCCCACCCCCCTTGTAGCTAATCATGCCCACGTGGCCCATATACAATAAGAACAACATTCAGTGGGAAAGTGTAGATGAGTCCACGGATGATAGGAAGCGAAGATAAAAAAAAAAAAAAAAAAAAAAAAAAAAAAAAAATTCGCAATGAAAATATAGTGTATGTAGAGTGGGGCTAATGATAAGTGTGCCCCTTTTCATGAGCACATCTCGTTATACAAGTCAGGCTTTTTTTTTTTTTTAACGCCATGTGATGATGTCACTGTTATGTTAGCGTCTGCACCCCACGGGGTTTTACATCACCTTGGTGATTCTCCTCATGTCCTCCACATAACGAACAAACTGAAGCAGAATTTGATTTACCCCTTCGTTAAAATTGCTCGACATAATTGTGTGAACGATGATGCTTAGGTGGTATAGTTTGGCTTTCACATCGGGGTCCATTTCTGTAAATTTTTTTTGTCTTAATTTAATTAGCCCTTCATACAGGTTTTGCACGCCCTCCAGGTTGAACGGGATCTCCACGTTGATTTGGAACCTGCGAAAAGGGGGACCAGCGATTAGGTACAGTGAATTGGGCGCGCAGCCATGTGTAGTAGTGCGCTCGGGAAATGGGGACTGGACGCACAGTCACGCACTGACGCGATTGCCGCTGTGTGTGCCCATCTGTAGCCGCCTCACCTGTCCTGCACATAGGACAACAACTGCTTGTATGCGAACACATCCACGACGACGCCTCGCAACGCGTCGCTCTTGATTTGAAAAGAGGCCAAATAGTTCCCCAAGTAATCTCCTTCTCCTTTACAAAAGCATATGTAAAAAATTGTCATTAGGAGTTCTGGCTGAACAAGGAACTTTCCTGGGTCCACCTCATACTGCTTGTTAATATACAATGTTATTATGTAAAACCACAGGGTATTTCTCACGTGTGGGTTTATAAAATTGCGTAGCGTGTCGACAAGGTCAAGGTGTTGAAGAAAAGACAAAATTTTTTTTAACTCATCCATCATGGTCTTTCTGTTATTTCCAAATATTCGATCCACTTTGTTCATTTCCTTTGTGTAATTATTTCTAGTTCCGCTGTTTTTTTTTTTTTTGTATTTCTTGAGGGTACCCATAATTTTCGCGCTTATAATTTTGTTTGAAGGTGATTGGCAGTGTCCGTTCCGAGTCACACAACTTGTCATGGCACCTTCGCTGAAACTGTTCAATGCGTACGTCATACGCTTTTCTCCCTCCTCCAACGGATACCATCCCGCATCCTTATAGTGGTCCGCTTCTACACACCCGTTGTGCGCATTCCTTCCCATGTCTTTGTTCAACCTCCTCGAGCACTGCTCAATCATTTCTCTCTTCAAGCTCACCAGCTTTTGCCAATAAAGGGACAGCCTTTTTTTTCCAGTGTACAAATTGTCGCTGTACCAATTTTGAAATAAGTCCTCCAGGTTCACCATTTTTGTTTCCTCCCCATTTACTTCTGCAATTTGTTCCTCTCCGCTCGATTTTCTACTTACCCTGATCTTGTTAACTACAAATTTGTGGAAAATTTTTTTTTTTTTTTTTTTCTCCTCGGTGGGGACACTGTTGTTGTCCATCCCATCCGCACCCCCCCCGCAATCTCCCAGATGAATGTCAAACGGGAAGTGGCGTTCCTTGAAGAGAAGCTCGTAATTAACCACATCCCTTTGGCCAAACAAATGATCCACGTAGCTTATGTCTTTATTCCTTTCCCAAATAAAGTCACACATTTTTTTATCCTTTAAAATTGTATCAAAGAAGAATATGTCACATATGAACAGCTCCCCCCTGCTGTTCGCGCAAACGTACAAATCACGTGTCTGTTTTTTTTTTCCCTCGCCCAATCCGGATGGCTTCATTTTATACACGTCCAGTATAATGCAGCGGTCCGAGTCGACAGTGGTCAAAAGCACATCACTCTGGTCGCCTTCACAAATGCTTTTACGCAGCATGTTATACTTTTGCCTGTACATCCTCCTCAACTCATCTCTCACTTCCTTCTTAATATTATTATATTTTACAAACGTATCATGGTACACATATGCGTAATGCTCTGGAAAATATTTTTTTATTCTTTGGACCCTCTTCACATAATCATTCATTTTGTCTTCCCTATCAGAGGTGACACATGCCTTTTCAAATTCTTTCCTCTTAAGAGTATAAAATTCGAACACATTATTTATGAGCTGCCTTTTTATTGTTACAATATTTTTGTTCATCACAAAATGAATGTACAAAATGTCGAAATAATTAATCGAGTAGGCTGTCCCCTTCGACATGCCCAAGAAATGGTGCAGTAGAATGGTCTCATTTGTTTCTTTATATTTGTAAATTTTGTGAACGTCTTCTGCTGTTTTTATTGCCATGTGGATTACATTATGTGGGGACATATCTTGTTCTTCGCTGCCCCACTTCCGTTCCGTGTAGAAGAAGGGATAGGTTTTTTCTACCCCAGGAGGCTTCCTCACCTGGTCATCAAACAAGGCTAATTCATTCATTCGCCCTTCCCCTACACCGTTCAGGGATAAAGAGACCCCCTTGCTAATGCTCCCGTGGAAAAGATTAAAGTAAAAATCGCGCAGCACCGGTTTGTGCAAATGGGATATATTTAAGTAACCCTCGCTCTTCAAATTTAACAAAATGGAAATGTCTTCATATCTCCTTGGAATTAAAAAACAGTTTGTACAATTTGCAAATAAATTTAACAAGTCATTATTTGAAAGGGTGTACTTTCTGAATATCTTCGCCCAATTTAAGTACAAAAAGTATTTTACAAAGTGGAGTCTGTAAGCGTCGTCCACTGGGGGCGCTTCTCCCCAGTAGGAGCTGTTCCCCGGAAGGCGATTCCCCAAAAGGCTGCTCCCACCGGAGGGGTATAAAACCTCCCCCTGCAGGCAATTTATCAGGTTAAGAAGACGATTGTACTGAGGGAGTTTATCCTTTACGTACACCTGCACATCCTCCACAAACACGGTGTTGACCCCAATACGGTCAGAAGAAATATCTACACAAGACAAAATTATTTTAATAAGGCCATTTGTTAGTAACTCCTTAATGAACTGTCTTTCCACTGCGCTTAACTTTTCCCTGATCAAGAAGAGCCCCTTTAGGAGGTACTTTTTACAGGAAAAACTTGGGCGTATTGCCTCGTCATATTTTTGTAACACACTTCTCCATTTTCGCCTGAACCGTTCAGGTAAAAACGGAAGCCCTGCGTACACCTCGTTGGAAAAATTTTCAAATGCGTCCTTATCGAATGTGTAGTAAATGCACGGGTACAGTGGGACAGCGCCGTGTGCAGTACATTTAGACGACGCTTCCTGTGTCTCTCCACTTTTGTAACAAAAATGTTTTGCTTCATTTGGGAGAGACGTGTCCTTATTGCAGGGACGCCGTGTCGCTCCTCTACTTTGCAGAAAAAAAGGGGCATTAATTCCTTCACCGCATGCTTCATCTTGCGCCCATCTCGAATCATGTCCGTTTTGCCTGCCCACTGTTCGCGAACTATCCATTTGTTTATCATTGCTGCGCGGTTCACCTTGTGAAGAGAATCCATCAACATGAGTTCTTCCTGCCGAGGATGCTTCCCCCCGATGCCAACTGCACAACCCCCTTGTTAAAATCTGCACCTTATCCCTCCCCTGTAGAAACTCCTTTCCAGTCACATAATCATAATCAATAACGTTTTTTCTAAAGAATATACTTCCTTTTTTTTTTCTGTTCATGAAGAAATTTATGTAGTGCGAGATTTCCAAATTTGTCAAATGTTTTTTTTTTTTTTTTAAAAACCTCCTGGCGATATTAAATTTTCTTTTTATTTTTTTGTCTTTCCTTTTTAACTTATTTATGTTGTACAAGTTGTGCCTCTTTAAATACTCTACGATAATTTCTTTTCTGTGTTTGTTAAAAATGGACATGTATTGTTCCACATGTGGGTTTCGGAAATTTCTTTTTTTATTTGTCGCCAGATCGAAGAGGGGGTACAAACTTGGGGTTATAATCATTTTGTCCCTTTGCGCGATTTCTTTGGGGCTTCCTCTGTCCGATCTGCTGGACGACCTCCACTGCGTGTTGGCCTCCTCTTCCAACAGAGGCAGAATAAACCTTTTGTGCAAAATAAAAACGTTTTTCCTTTTTTGCAGATTGACGGAATAGCATTCCTTGTGGACATGTTCCAGCCAAATTTTAAACCACAACGTGGGGAAAGAGGTCCTCAAAAGGGGGTAAAATGTGATATTCCCTCTCCGCAAGTCAACAGCAGGGAAAAGGTGCTCGTAAAGATTTTTCTCTATCACGCTTTGGCCATAATTATACGCGACGTTAAAATCGTCCAGAAATATTTTAAACGTGTACTGTGCTTCGCCGCACTTCTCTTCCCCACCGCGGGGGGCACTTACAAGGAGATGCGAAAAAAGGGAAAACAGGTTGGAACAGCCAGAGCCACATTTTGCCTTGCCGTTCAGGTACTTCTCCAAATCGGCCGGCGTCTTGTTAGCAACGCGTAGGGTTAAGTTGAAGAATTCATCATACGACACTAAAAATATAAAAGCTGTCTTGTCATTATGTATGCAATTTTTGTAATTAAAAAAGCTGACCGACTCTTCCGAATATATCTCCTTCAAATGGCTGTAGAAATTTTCTGCCGCCTCGTCGTCCTCTGTGTAGAGGTATAGAATAACATCCCTTTGGCGATCCCCCATCCACGTCGCAATTCGTGTGTAAAAACACACCAAATGAAAGAACAACCTCTTTTGAATAACATTGTCGTACTTAACAAAGATGTTGCTCTTTTTAGAAATTTCCCTCTCAGCATGATCATCTGCACACACAGATTTTACAATATTGTCGACCCACGACTTGATAAGCATCAAATTGAGTGGGAACACCCACGTTTTAAATGCCCTTCCTGTGAGTACATCGGGAGGGGAGCATGACGCACAGGTGTGTTCACTACTCCCATGATGTTTATTCGTTGTAGAAAAATCGCCTGACTCGTTCAGGTAATTATGCTTACAAGGTGTACCTCTGTTCATTTTGTGAAAATCAATCATTTGTTCTTGTCCACTTTTTGCATCTGTCTCATGTGTAGACACAGAGTGGACATCGAGTACACCCCCTGCGTCGTCTTCTTTTCCGTAATGATGCAAATGTAATTTGCTAAGCAGAGCGTTTAGTCCCTTAAGCAGCATGCACAGCTCCTCATTTTGTGTGCAATTATGTATGGCGCTTCTCTGCAGAATATTTTCGAGAATCGTTTTAGTGCACTCCTCGGGGGAGTAACTGTGTCGGGGTACTTCGAAACTGCGGCGTCGTTCTCCCACTGTGGAATTATCATCTGGAGGGTATACATCGTTTGTGACTTGTTCGAGACTGTCCTGGAGTCTCTCATTTCCCCCCCACCAAGATAGAAGCTTCCCCTTCCTATGAACCCCGAACCGTGAAACCATATTGCAGCTGATGGTTAGACCTGCAGCACTGTCACTCCTGCCAAATCTTTTGCGCCTAGAAAAATTGAAGCCTGTCTTGCACGAAATAAACATGGTTTGATCCTTTACCATGTTGTATCTTTCCCGCTGCGTCGTATTCTTCTTCCCCCGTTTGTCAAATCCTCTGCACATGGAAGCATACTGACGCGGGAAAGGTCTAACACAATGTAAGGCATTTAACCCGGGTCCGTTCCATACGCCGTCATTCGGCCTTTCACTTTTTGCAGAGACGTTATGCCTTCTTCGGGTGCATACTGACATAGTCCGTGCGGCCCCCCATGAGTGAGCATCTCTATTACCATTTCTACTCAACCGGAAAAAAAGTCTCGCGCCCTTCTGCACTTTGAACACTGGGGGGGATAAACACTTCCCTTGGTCTTTCTCAAAATTGCGCAAATGGCATTTCCATTGGGGAGGGACCAAAGACAAGAGAAATAAAACAAAAGGGGAAAATATCATTTCATTTTACAAAAAAAGGTGTATGCTCTCCGTTAATGCATTCCGTGTTGGCGATTCGTTTTTGTGCCTCCTTTGCCGGACGTTCTCTTACACATCACAGTGCCCCCCTCGTTGACATCCGTCGTGAACTCATTTTAGCGCACAATCAGGGGTAGGTAAGGAGGAAGCGGTTTTCTTCACGTTTGCAAAAATGGGTGAAACTGAGGGGATGTGTCCTCCACACCTTTGCGGGTTTCTTACCCTTGTCAAGTTCCCTACACCACTCTATGTGGTATGAACCCTTTTTATGCAAGCTGCAGCGCGCGGTGTTGTTTCGTTTCAATTTAGTGTTGCGTAGGTTTGGAGTCATGATTTTGCTCCGGGAAGCTCACGCACTCGTTTTTGTGGAAAAGTGGCAACGATAAATTCCCGCGCTGCCATTTTTCGCAGCTGCCTTACTCTTTCATTTGTCCCCACTTTGTTGTGGCGCCAAAGAAGGGGATAAACAAATTGCAAGCCTAGCTGTTGATATTTCCGCACTGCGATACGGTAAAAGTGGTGAACAATTTTGATGGACTGTTCAGATCTACATTTTTATAAAAAAAAAACATCACAGAAATATCACCCTGCGTGGTGCTTAAATATGCACAAGAGCAACAGCTACATGTGTGTAATTTTTTTTTTTTTTTTTTTTTTTGCAAGCCATTTCACCGTTTTAAGCTGCTGTAGTTGGGCTCTCTTGGCATGCCGACTGGGAGAAGTGCCTTTTCCATTCCATACAAAAAGCGGAAAGAAAGGGATGATTTTTATTCACACAAAAGAAAGTGCAACGCAAGGCACATTTTGAACACCTACTATTGTCGCTATTTTACCATCATTTGAAGTTTTTTTTTTTTTTTTTTTTTACCGTTTATCTAGGGGCCTCGCAAGAATGACCCATTTTGTCTTGTACAAATGAATAAGTCAGCCGCATGAAGTCAACTGGGGAAAGGTGTTGTTGTGCGTAGTGGGGTCCTCAAACTATTTGCGTTTTTCCCAAATGGAGGAACGAATTAAGGGAAAAAAAAAAAAAAAAAAAAAACACTCACCAGGAGTCGTATCGCACATGGGCGCTGGCATATGAACAATAACAACAAAAAAAAAATTAACAAATGGACAAGTGCATATGGACGGACGAATGGCTGCATAATGGTGAAGTCAACCCCACGACGCGCAAGTCACATTTTCATTGCAGCACCGGAGAAAGGCTCCCCTGTAGAAGGTGTAAAATGTCTTATATTGCCCAAACAGGTGGAAGTCAAAAAGTGGAAATTTAAAACTCCCAATCCGTTCATGCTTTGACAGAAAAAGGGATGACTTGTAAAAAAATTTATAAGACGACATGAGAAAGAAGAGAGCATCTTTTATCCTTTTCTTTTGTTGAACTCCGTTGGAAATTCCCACCACATCTCCGTCATTTTCCCAGTGGTAAAGGGCTCGCTTCATGTAGAAACAAATTAAAAATAAAAAAAATTGCTTTTTATTTATCTGTTCAAGTGAGTCGTATGCATGATCTTTCTTCTGCTCGAAAGTTGTCTCCGTGCAATGTCCCTCCTTGTGCTCAACTACGTGATCGGTTAATCCATCATTTTTTTTTCTTCTCTTTACGCACTTTTTCCCTGCACTGTTCAGGTGAATATCGCTGTCTGATATGACCGAGTCAGCATCCGAAAGTGCCTCTTGCACCTTTTCGTTCTTCAGATTGGAAAAGAAGTCGGTGATTTTTATTTGGTTCTTCACTAAAGGGATTAGCTTCCTGGAACACTTTGCGGAGCCGCCCTTGCAGAGGCTCCCCTTCCCGCAGCTATTTCTTCTCTTCTCCACGCTGCTTGCGAACTGGTCTGGTGTGGCCTTCTCCTTGGCAAGCGGTCTAGGAGTATAATTACTGCTTCGGGGGCTACGCTCCGATAGTGCGCTGTCCAGATTATCCCTTTCACACATGGCCACAGAACCAATCCCCATTTCCACCCCGTTGGTACTGTGTGAATTGGCAGCCAGTTGATCCTCCTCCTTGTTACAAAAATGAGGCCCCGTTCTTACAATCGGAGACATATCAGGTGTGTCACAACTCTTTACAAATGTGGACGTGCCCAATTTACACCCCTGAAAGGAATCGCAATTTTCCCTCTTTACATTCACATAGTGATGGTATTCCTTTATGAGTTGTCTTTTCCTTCCTTCCCCTTGCATGCGCTCCGACTGTAAGTTAAATTGGTGTAGCAGCGAGTACCCGCAAAGGTAAAAAATAATACCCAAGACATTTTTGTAACTTTTGATTTTCTCAAAATGGCTTAAAATTTCGAGGAGAATACAAACAGCCGTATGAGCATTATCCATGCGCAGTTCGAATAGGCATAAACGTATAAGGGCGTGTATATATATTATACACAACTGCCTGGAGTAACTAACACTTAAGCATGTGATGATTAAACTTTTTACAAAGTACAACGGCCTGTTACATGTACTGCTTCTGCATTCCATGTATAAATCGATCATCCTCAATAAATTTAGGCATTCAAAAAGGTAATTATTTTTTTCCAGATTAAATCCTATTCTCATTTGATGTTTCTCCTCTGCTAGGATGAAACAGTTTGTCTCGAACAGTTCCTCAGGTAGATAGTAATCCTTTTCCAATCTATATGACTCGTAATGATCAGGCTTCACATGTTGATAATAATGGTAACGATCTCTCCACGTCTTCAATCGTATTAACCATTCGTTTTGCCTGCTCAGGTTATTTTCTATATGTTCCTCTTTGCTAACTTTGAAATGGTATAACATGTGTTTGTATTTCTCTTCTGCACTTTTTTGTCCTTCATGAATGCTCTCCCTCATGGGGATGTGTCTTGTACCTGTACTATCAAGTTCAGTATGGGTACCATTATTGTGTCGCTCTGCTGCTACATCAGAAGTGGAGACACTTTTCTTCTTCCCATTCGTATTTTTTTTATCTAGGTGGAGGAGTATGTTATTGAAAAAGGAGCTTCTCCCGACTAGTTTCTTGTTTTCATCTTTTACTCCTTTTTCACTTTTTTTAAAAAAGACAAAGTCGTTCTTCTCAAACGGGGCCTCACTTTTGAAATCGTCAAATTGGTACTTTTGATGACCTCCATCTTCCTCGTCTTCTCCATGCGTCGCAAACTGATCGACCCGTACACCCACAGCTGAGTCGTCTCTAATTGTTTCGTTGTATGGACACTCAGTGGGGGGCGTCTCCTCCCACAAGGCAGTCTCATTGAGGGGGCGATCACCGTTTAGCACCTCTTCCACGTTTGTTGGCTTCTCCCCTGTCCTCACCGCCGCATCCCCACCCAGAAGGAAGTGCAAAATGTTTGTGACGAAAAGGTCGTCCCTTAGGGCGTCCCCCGCGCAGTTAACGCGGCACATGGAAAAGGCCTCCCTTCTCCTGGACAAGTGGAAGACATAAGCGAACTCCCTCACCGAGCCCAAGCTACCACGAATCATATCCCTAATCTCATCACAGATGGAGAAACAAGAAAACAAAGTTTCATTAGACAAACTCATATATATGTACTGAAACATCTGCAGGTCGTTGTAGTCCAAATGGTTATAAAATTTATGCAAAATTATTTTCAGAATTTGCAAAAAAAAACTCTTCAAATTTATAACGTTAATCTCGTGCAGAAGGAGGTGTATCAGGGAGAGCAAGATTTTCACCTTTATCTGCTGATTGCTTGGCCAGATATTATTGAAGTTAAATGATTTGAAACAATCCTTGTAGCTTCTAGATACATGATCGGAGAAATAGTTTGAGCATATGTATGCCAAGAATAAAAACTCCAAACAAGAGAAGAAAGAATCATCATGTGCGTCTCTCAACGATCTCATTGCCTTGGAGTCATATAAAAAATTATTGTACTTTTTTTTCCCCAATTTTTCTATATGCTTTTTCATATCCTTTTGGCTAAAATTTTCACTAAAGTATGAGTCCAGCCTGTTCACTACTTCCTTTATGAAGTTGGTCATATTACCTGCGTTTTCTTGGTAGCTGTTTTGTGACAGGATGTACGCCGTGTCGCACGGGGGGGCCTCCAAGGTGGCCCGGTCCATCCGCAGGTCCCCACTTGGCCGCTCCCCACTTGACCGATGATCAGTTGGCCCCTCCCCAGATGAAGACGGCAAGACACGCCCCGCCTCTTCCTTACAATGCAAAAGGGACACCTCATAACTAGTCACCGTCTTTTCCAATATGTTAAAAATGAAATTGAAACTTTGGACAATTTTTCTCATGTACAAATGATCGTGTTGACTGAGAAAGCGATCATGTTTTCCACTTCCCTCCGAGTGAGACGAATCGTCGGTGGAGTGACCACACGTGCGATGGTCTCCCTTGGGGTTGCTTCTTCGAGATGGACTTATGCGGGACACACTTCTATGGGATGCACTCCTGTGGAAGTCTCCCGCCCTGCTGGAGGCAGCTCCTCGCGCCACACTGCTGCAGAGGTCTATGGGCACATTTCTGCAAAAGGGTTCTTCGTCATACGGGAAAGGTCCTCTGGCGGAGAGAGCCACCGAGTCACTCCTCAGGCCGCGTTTGTCCCGCGCAACTGATTCGAAGCAGTGGTCGTATTGTCCGTATTGACCGTATTGAAAGTATGGAGCGAATTCAGAGCCCCTTTCCCCTTCGTTTCCCCCAGGGTATCTGGCGCGCGGAGACACCTCCCCCCTGACTATGGAACGAGGTGCGAACTTGCCAACAGAGTCAGCATACAGATTATGCGAATTGTACAACCTTTCACATCTGTACATGGTGCGTGAACTGTAGGCGCGGCGTGCGGAAGTCGCCTCTTCCCTGACGCAGCTGGAAATGTCCTCAGGGAGAGCGTCTCTTCGGCTGCCCCCGAACCCCTCCTCCCGCACAGCTCCATAACGCCCCGTTGCATCCCACACATCATCACAAAGCAAATTTAATGAATCCATGTCATTCCTCTGACTAAAGTAATCATTGTAGTAGCAATTGGATGTGACATTTTCATGCAAAATTATATTACTCCTCAAAAATTTAATTTTTTCATTAGGACAGAAGGAAAGATAGGCTCTTAAAAAAGGGTAGTTAAAAATGAGGTTACTAAAATCGAGACAAACCAAGGATAACAATTTGAAGGATGTAGGGTTGCAAAGATATTTTTTCAACAGAATGAAGCATTTGTTAAAAGTCATACTGAGAATTTCGAATGCGAATAAAATATTTTTCCTTTTCAATTCAATGAGGTACATTTTGTAGAGGAAAATAACTTCAGAGGTCAGGGAAAAAGAGAAATTGAAATCGATCATTAACAATTTGAATGCCTTGTTCAGCAATCTGCACTCCAAGTAAATATTAAAAAGGTTATGCTGCACGGTTAATTTTTTGGAAGAAAATTTATATATAGAGACATTTCTTACTATATCTGTCTTTTCATTTTGAATTAAATTAGAAATTCTCATTTTACTGTATTTATTCTTGTCTTCTTTCCCTGTCTGCTTCCCCGTCTGCTTCCCGCTCTCCTTCCCCCTTTCGTATGTCTTTTCCTTTTCCCTCTCGCCGCGCATGTCCAGATATAAGCTCTCCGCCAACATGAGGTAATCATTTTTTAAATTGTGGTAAATGTAATTAAATCCTTGTAGGTCATTCAGAAATTTCACATTGGGTTGTTCGCAACTTCGCAGAGTTTTTTTTTTTCCTTTTTTTTTTCTCCTCTTCAAATTGTATAAGCCTTTTAGGCTCTCCACAAAATCGTGTACCTCGATGAACTCATACCTGGAACATATGGACAGGATATATGGCTCCAGGGTGTTGTTGACGTTGCTACGGAGGTTGCCTGATGGCAGTGCGTCAAAGAGGAAAGAGAAAATGTTACTCTGCTTAATTAGTTGGTCTGACTGAATGTACTTGTTCAGGAAGTTGTGCGATCGGTTGAAGAAAATTTTCAGATTTCGCTCGAGGCGCTTCGTGGGGCGGGCCACGTGCATCTCCTCATTCTGAGTTAGCGGGACAATATTGTCGTTGCATGCCTCGGTCTGTTCCCCCATCTGATGCGACACGTATCGACTGATGCTGCCCTGTCTGCTCCGCCTCCCCTGCACATAGTTGTGGTAACTCAGGTTGCCCTTACAGACCCGTTTCACACCCATGTTGTAGTGCTTTCCAATGAAGATTCCGCCCGTGTCACTTCTCCCACACGGAGAGGAAACCTCCTCACTGCATGTGAATTCACTGATAAGGCCAATCTGCTCTCCCTCAGCGCACACGCCACCGTTGTTGGGACCCACCCTCCTGAACTTTGCCCCAAGTGCAGATTCCTTTTTGTGTCCCTTTTTGACACTACACAGGTTAGGAGCGGGATAGACTGTGTCCCCATTTTTCCCCTTTAGGCGACTGAAGAGAGCGATTTTCCCCTTTACGTCTTCATTAACTTGTGTCTTTTTTGGAAGCCGAATGGTGTAGCCGGTTCCCCGCTTCGCAGTTGATATGACCAGTTTGCTTGTGTCTCCCCGATTGGAAGTCTCCCATTGGGACCATTTCGAACACAGACCAATGTAGTAATAATGAAAAAAATTTACCTGCACAAGATAAATAAAATTAATCATCTGAACATTCAAAAAAAAATTGTCGTAAAATTTCAAATTCCTCGTTGAACATATCCTAAAAAAATAATCGAATAAATTTTGCAACAGTTTGTAATTGTTATTCAAGACAATGCTGCTGAACGATTCATACTTATACTTCTTTAGCATTTCTGTGAGGAAGGAATTTTTTTCTTGTCCTTTTGTAGAGAAGGTGTTCCCCGCGGCGAACTCATCACTGCCCATAATCTGTTCTGTGTTAAAGTAGGATGTTATGAGTAAATTTTTTACGCAAAAGAAAAAAAAAATTTGAATCATCAGCTGCTTGTTAATTGTTACCTTTAAAAGGACATTCAAAAATTCAAACCAAAAGAAAAGTAAATTTTTGTTATTCTCTTTGTTTATGTAGTTGAATAATCGTTCGATGGTGATCGAGTGAACGAAGCTATCATCAAACGTTTTTATGTTTATTATACATTTGTTTACAAGCTGCAGATTCTTCTCTCCGTATACCCTCCGTGTGCATGCGTGTATGAACTTTTGCCTTCTCGTTGCCTTAATTCCCTTGTCTTTGCCCCGAGCTAGCTCACAGAAGGGGCACTTGGTTGGCCATGTGCATGTGGGGTTCCACGAATCAGCCATGCACAACTTGGAGCTGTCTGGCGAGCACAACATTTGCGCCCTCATGTGGGTCCCCTTCGTCTTCAAAGAATCTCCCCCCTTACACCTCTTGATTCCCACTGCGCTTCTCCCTTCCCTGCTGTTCCCATCTGCACTGCTCACCCCTTCTCCCCCCTGAGACGCACACCCCTCATCGGTTTTTAAAAAAACGCGGTGCACATAAACCTCCTGATCCCTTTTCTCCTCCTTTATGTGGTCATAAAAAGAATATAAATCGTGAAAAATTTGAAAATTTTGGTCATTCAAGCAAAAGTTTAGCTTAACAAAATGGAGCAATTTTTCGTTGAGGTCGTTAATATTTATTTTGTATTTCCTTTGGAATTCTTCACATACGTTTTTACGAATGTGCCTACTCGAATCGTGTGGTAAGGTGCCTTCATTGTCTTCACAACCTTTTCTGCTGTTGTCCTTGTCCCATGTCGGCACCTCTAAAACGTTCGAAGTTTTACCTGCACACGTCTTATTCGTGGAACCCCCCAATTTCGACTTTCTCTTAACGGTGTTTGTCGTCTTCCCGACACTAAGACGTTGGATGCTGCTCACCCTGGAGCTGATCTTGTTTACTCCACTGGTGCTCCTTTTATTTCCCTTTTTCTTTTGTTTCACATTTTCGGTGAAAATTTGATTCCATGTGTAGAAGAAGCACCCAAAGATGAAGGCCTCCAGTTCTATGTCTATGGAGTTGACTTTGCATTTTCGTTTCCCTTTCCTGCGGTGGTTCATTTTGGGTGGGGTCTTCTTTCCGCCTTGTGAACTCTTCGCGAAGGGCTTCTCTTCTTGAGCTGCTTTTCTTTTTTTTTTTCGTTTTTTCTTCTGTCCCCCTCGATGCCTACTCCCCCTGAAGGGTTCGCTTGCTCATACACAGGCAACGGGAACCGCGCTGTGGGAAGCACAGAGAGGGAGCGCCTTGTGTATCCACTGCCAATTTTTACATAAAGCGGCAGAGCATTTGCTTGGAGGTACACGGACAAATTTTCTCCCCTCACGCGATCTCCCCCTTTTGCGCTTCTCACACGTGTGCTACTATTACGATGAATGAGGACATCTTGAACATTGAAAAAAATTACGAATGAAAAGAAGAAAACGTTCCCTTGGACATGCTTACAAATTTTAAATCGCGCCAAAGGGGGAGGAGCGAAAACATATATACATACTAATAAAAAATGGGCAAAGACAAAAACGGGGAGGGGGGAATAAAACTGAGCGGACAAGTGCCTCGCAACAGCGCACAGGAGATTATACTAAAAGGAGGAATTGAAAAAATAAAAAAAAAAATGAGAATGAAGCAATTAATTGCTTAGCGAGACAACTCAGTTGGAAACATACAAATGGACATAAGAGGAGCGACACGAAGGTTTTCCAAAATGAGATGGCGAATTTATCGTGTGAGCGTGAGCGATCCAATTGGGGCATTTTTTTTTTTTTTTCACCTTCTCTGTGCATCTCCAACGAAGCGGTGTAAAGGGAAAAAACTCGTTTTATGATCCATGCCGTGGGGTAGTTTTCCCATGCCATCGGGCTGTGCTACCCTCCCCTCGGGGCGATGCTCAATTTTGTATCGCTTCCAATTACAACCACCCGTGAGGGGCTCCCATGTGTTAACCAAAGAAGGAAAAGGCACCGAGCAGGAGCATAGAGGAAGGAAAAAAAAAAAAAAAAGGAAAAAATAACTCCCAAGGCGTAAGATAGAAACACAAACAAACGTTTAGCAAAATATAAAAACCTTGGTGTTTATTCCCAGTGTATGGTTCTTTTTTTTGTGGGGACTCAACAAAGTGGACATGAAATGCTGCGTCGTGTAAATTACGCCTTTTCCTTTTTTGTATAAAACAGTGACAAGGTGCTGGAACAACGCTTCGGAAATGTACGCTCTTTTTTTTTTTTTTTTTTTTTTTTTTTGTTAACTCCCTAAAAAAGGAAAAATTAATTTGAAAAAAAGTTTAATAAGCATTTTTTTAGCCCAATGGGTGTAAGTTGAAATGACAGTTTTTCTTTGTGTTGATACTTTCCCCCTTTTTTTTTTTTTTTTTTTATGCTTTCAAGAATTGTTCACCTTGGGGGGGATTTGCCCCTTCGCAATAACGTACGCTGAGGGTTGTGCTTAACTGTTCCCCTCCCTACCCCGTCAGCTCTGCTGCGCTGAAGATTTCTTGCCCATCACTTGAAAACGAGTCGTCGGTATGTTGGTTGAGGAGGTCACTCCCCGCAGTCTTGGGAGACACAAAGGAATGCCCCCCTCTCTATACCCATGCGCACATGCTTGATACGCGCCCTCGAAAGAGACGCATCGAAGCAAATGGCGCAGTTTATCAGGTGGGAGGAGCCCCACCATGAAGGCAAAATTTGTAAAAAAAAAAAAAATAGTAAAAACGAGGGATTGTCCAACTGTTGGTGTATTTCTTCCCCTGCCGCCGTTTTTTTGTTTTAAGTGAAACATAGAACAAAAATATATACACACACAGGTGTACGGAGTGTAGCGCACGAGATACATCATTTGCGGCGGGACGGTTTGTCTGCTGGTCTCTGTTGACCATGCCGTCGACAGTGGGCAAGACAGTCCAGTCCAGCGCAATCCCACTTGCAAGGAATAACGTCACCCGTTGAGAAAAAAGATGAAGCGAATATATGTGAACAAAAAAATGTGGCACATTTGTGTGAGCAAAAAAATAAAGCAAAATGACATTCCGCAGCTCCGCAAAATTGTAACTTTTCTTATAAAAAGGTATCCCCTGAAAAAGGGGGGAAAAATACATCACCTGAACAAACATGTGTATGTAACTCTCGTCGTATACATCGTGATTCACCGAAATGGAAGAAACTTGGCCCACGTTTTTACTCGATTTTTGAATGGCATTATTGTTAAGTACCTTGGAACGCTGTTCCACGTTGTAAGCAACAAATTGTGCATGCGGGGAAAGGGCACAGGAGGGAGGACGCACAACGGCGTGTACTACACCCACTTGTGGAGCTCGCTACACAGTAGTAGGGAGGTACCTTCAAGAAGCACCCTAAGGTATGTCTTCATAAGGGCGCATTTGATAAGCACGTATAGTGTTGTCTACGCCTATGTGAGTGATACTGTAGGGCGGGAGCTTGCTTTTCCCCGTGGTAAGCGCACGAAATGTGAGCGTCAGCAGGGTGAGGTCTACCCATTAGAGGGTAACCTGTGGGGTGATTTCCCCCATCGTGTACATGTGCACCTCCTTTTCAACCTCGCCAAGTATAGCCCCGCCTCCCAGCTGCAGAAAGAGTTGCTTAAAAAAAGGGCAAAACACGAACTCCTAAAAGGGGTGGTGGGAACCCGTTTTGGTGACCTGAGAAGGAATTTTCCACCCGGAAAGGCAGCCACAATGCCAAGTAGCCACACCTATACTCTCATCGGTCCATCTCGAAAACGGCATTTCGTTCTGTGCAAATCTTTTTACTCACGTGTTACACAATTTATAAATCAAATGAATGGCATGGCTCTCAAGTATAGGACTGGCGGGAAGGTCATGGCCCACTTCTACAGTTTCCTTCAAAGAGAGACATTCAAAAGTGAGGCTTCTAAAAAGTTCGCAAAAATAGTTAGCTTCTATTTTATGAAGCATCCTAAAGGGGTGCCACATACACGTGCAGGTGACAAAATGGTTAAGCAGTGGAATGGGAGAGGAGATGAAGGTACTGACTCCACTTCACTGAGCATCATCAAGAGGGGGAACATTACCCATCGAGGGGGACACATGGACAAATTTTCAAGCGTCCTCATCACAGCTATCCTAGGCAAACAAATGGAGGGACAACGACCCCAGATGGTTTGCACAAAGAAGAAAGTATATCACTACAATAAGTCGACCAGGCGTATTAAAATTCGATACGATCATACACGCAACAACGAGCGAAGGTTTGGCGCTCCGCACACCATCTGCACAACTCACCCAGTCAGGTCAAAGGAAAAGGACACAAATGAGGAAGACTTCCACCTAGAAATGGAGCTGCTTAAAAAGTGCTGCCACTACCAAAGGGTGATACGCCAAATGTTAAAGAGACGTAAACAAGTCATGAAGAACAGGCAACACGATGAAGAGGGAAAAAATCATCTTAGTTATTGTTTTTTCACGCAAATGAGTGATCTCCAACTAATACGCAATTGGAAGAAAAAGGGTACAACGTGCATGAGGGAAAAATTGACACACAAAGGATTAAACGAGTGTCACATCAACAGGTACTGTGCCCCCCACAAAGGAGTATTAACAGTTGCACGTGGCACGACTACAGTACGTGCATCGGCTGTGTCTCATCTTAGGAAGCCAAATGGGGGGAAGCTCAGCCCTAACGAACAAATAACCCACCTGTTAAAGGAAAAGACGTCCCTTTTAACCCTCTGCGAGAGGGCTAAACGTGTAGTGCTTCTCATCGAAAGCGAACACTTTGAAGTAATCACAAAATGCATGCAGAGTATGAAATGTTTCACGCATACGTATGGGGAGAGCTTTCTACTAGTCCTGCATCTATTGCGACGGCAAAATGTGGGTTCCAAGACAAATGCTGCTGTAATAGTTCAGCGTAGAGGGGGACATTCTATGAGAAAACGTAACAAGCGAGGTGGGAACAGATTAGGCAAGAAGTACCCATCACATATTGGAAGTGAGTTATCCCCCGAGGAGCTTCACTCCTTTATATATCTCTTCACACGAGTGTTTACTTCGTATGTCTTTTTACTTTTTCACGCTCTGCGCAAGTACAAAGGGGATATTCAAAAGAGATTTATTCTGCTAAGAATTGCAATTATCAACAAGCGGGGCATATCCTACAAAAGGGAAAAGCAGGATGGAGTGCCAATAGAGACAGGGATGAAACTTCCATCTGCAACAAACGTGGTGATTACCAGAAAAGAGAAAAGCGAGTACTACCAAAGCTTATTTATCTCGCTCATGTGTAAACTTTCTAGCAGTGCTAACTCTGCTTTTGTGCCATTTTGGAAGAATGGATCCCATGTGAAGGACATACAACTTATCCTTGTCCACCTCCTTCAAACCCTTTTAAGAATCATAAGCAACAGTCATCAGAAGAGGGGCAGTACCTATTTGGGAAAAAAAAAAAATGAAGGCTGCACACATTTTGAGGTAAAACTTGAGCGAGTAGCACATCTAGTGGAGGAGCAAATTTTGTGTATTCTTTTAAAAAAGAAATTTTGTTCCCACTTTGAAGAACTCCTCATACAGGGTAATGAGACTGGGGAGGGGAAGCCCCTTAGTAGAAGTCCCCTCAAGTGGGCAGAGTATATTGCTCACCAAATATTGAACCACCGAAAGAGCAAACGGATTTGGCTTCGAAAATATTATAAGATGTATTTGCATTTCATGAGATATATTGAAAGGGGTCACATTTTCAAAGGCGACAAACTGGTGCCTCTACACAAGAGACATTGTTTCTCATTTCCCAATGGCGAGAAATCATTTCGGGAAAAAGGAAAAAGGACATGGTTGTCCCATTTTAAAGAAAAATTTCGAAAAGTAAAAAACGAGTTTTACATGCACATGGTGGAGAAGTACTTTCTGCTCTTCACAATCATGTCTTCTGCAAAAAGATCCCAAGTGGTCACCCCCTTTTTGATGATATTTTTAAAAATTTTGTTTTCCCTATCGGAGCAGAAGAATTTCCTTTTGCAGTTTTACTTTTACAGAGTGAGAATTTTGGAATTCCTGCTTCACTGCATTGGAGGAAGTGGTGGTGGAGACCACGCGGACGGTTTTGCACCTAAAGAAGTTGACATGCGCAAGCAAAGGGAGGAACAATCTCTTCATATTCAGGGAAAAAGGCACACCAGTGGGAGCAAGACAAACGAAGAAGATAACCACCTCAGCATTGTCAGCCCCCCGTCAGGAAACCCTAATAGTGAGCAAAGTATAAAAGTGAGGAAACAAATTTTTATTCGCCCCCTTGCATTAAATCGTCTTCATAGCCGCTCCCCAAAATATTTCGTCCAGAAGAAGTCCCCCATTTTGGAGGATCGGACCAACCAATTATGCACCGCGCTATCCTCAGACAAACATCATCACCAATATGGTCGTGGAAATTTGACGCGCAAAACGAATGGAAAGGTACACCTTTCTCAGGATGGAATCGATTTGGTATCGAGAAATGGGTCAGATTGTCGGGGGGAAGACAAATGGGAGCAGGTTGCACAAATTGGGAATGCAATCCAAAATATCGACGTCGCCACATGGACAGTCCTCTTGATATTCTCCCTCTGCACATCGTACACTAGGAAGGATCTGAACTGCTTCTACTTCAATGAGAATTACTACGGCCAGCATGAACACGTTCTACACAAAATTGAAGAGCGCATTGGCGTCCCCCGAGGGAAGACGTGCAGTTTTCCCAAAATTCCCCGCAAGTACGCCCCCCTTGACGAACTTATAAACGCGGAGGACATACCGATCATGAAGGTCCTGCAGCTTCATTTGAACCAACAAAATGCTCAAAAGCTTCTGCGCCGCTTAAAAAAATGCATACAGGGGAATGACCCACTGCAAATGCTGTACAACCTTGCCCTTGTTAGCAACATGAAGTATTTGCATTTTCTGAGAAAAATAAATGAAGACGGGAATGGAACGGTACACTTATGTTCGCATTCAATTTTCCCACATAAGCCATTCATTATAAAGTTGATAAAGATACAGAAGCACATCAATGAAAATTACGCTTTTAAAAATATTTTCGATGAAATAAAATGCCTCCGAACATTTCAACATGTGCATGGAAACATATGCCAAATGTATCAATACGGGGTTAAAAAAAATGGCGATTGTAGAACCTTCACATATTACATACTAATGCAGCATTATGACGATAATTTAAAAAATTATATAAATTATTTACACCAAGATTACTTGCTAAGAAGAGAAAAAATTGTGTGTGCAAATTTGTTGCCCGTTTTGGGTCTCCAGGGAATGGACAAAAATGGACATTTACTGTTCAGGAAAAAAAAAATATTAAAAACCATAACAAATGAAATGCCACAATGGAGGGGACAATACAAAGAAGGACAATACAGAAAAATGAATTTATCATTATATTATGCCATGTTGAGAAAGAGTATCCGTATGAGGGTAATCCAGTTAAAATACGTGGCGTATGTTTTGCGGTTGTTCAAACAAATTGTAAAAACAGTTATGCGCATACATAAAAGACGCATAACCCATTTTGACATTAACTCCAGTAACATTTTGGTAAATTACGACGGATCTGATTTGTCGCCATTAAATAAGAAAGCTCATTTGGATAGGTTTCCACGTCGTCGGAATGGACTCCAAAAGAAGGGAAAAAACGCTCCCGAATTGGGAAACAACCCCTCTTCCTCCTTGTTTGCACCCCGGATGAGTTACCTGAGTCGTTCAGGCAAAAAAGTAAAAAAGATACAAATGGAAGGAATGGCGAAAATTGGAAGCACACAGGAAATTTTAAACCCATTGGAGAATAACACAACGGGGGGGATGAATCTGGACAGAATGAGCATCGTGCCCACTTTGCAGTGTTGTGCTACACCTGTCCAAAGGAGATATATGCCCACTATGGGTGAAGTTCCTAACCTTCCATCCATCGTCATTAACGACTTTGGAGAAAGTAAAGCCTTTTTCAGCAATAAGGATTTCCTATTTTTTCGAACAAGCAGGGGACACGAAATGATGGCTGCGCCCGAGTTGATGAAAATGGGTGCGGGGAAAGAAAAGTGGGGAGGGGACACTGCCACTGATAATCACGTGTTCCGCTGCAGAACTGTGGGTTTAGCAACAAACCGGCTGCGCAGAGAAGGAGCCCACAATCGAATTACAACCAATGTAGCGAACTTTAAAATTGTTGTCCGGATGGAAAGCAACCAAAGCATTATCGGCTTGAAGAAGAAAAAAAGTCATAGCAATGTAGGAGGAAGCGATCTCCATAAATTGACCATTCGGAAGGCGTCCCCATTTCGATGTTACAAACAGATTGACGAAATGAAGAGAATGCTAAAAAAGAAGCTGTTGAAGAGGAGAACCTGTCACAGGAGAAGACGAGACATTCAAAAAAGCGACGTGTGGTTACTTGGATTTCTACTATTCGAGATGATTACAAATGAAGCATTAACAAATGAGTGCAATAATATATTTTTGTACATAAAGATTGATCAGAGGAAAGACCTACTCGATAAAATGATTAACAAAAAAATTGACAATAATTTGAAAAAAATTAAAAAATTTTTCCATTTTTTTTTCCAATTTGACGTCAGAAAGAGGAAAACTATGGAAGAAATATATGTACACTGTGGCCAGCTCTATCTTTATTATGACGCAAAGTTAAAGAGGCATAGCGAATTGCTAAAACGGATCGAGGGAACAGGTGTGAATAGTGTCTTTCCAGGGGAAAAACCTCATATGCTCAATGAGAAGGGTGTCTTCCCTACGCGAGGGACGAATATTCAACCGTTGTTCCCGCAACACGTGGTAGTAAAAAGGAAGGGGAATTACTCACTCCACACTTTGGAGTCTGCTGGTCATTTAGTTACAAATTATCAGAAAGGCAATGAAATTCGAACCAATGACAAGAATAAGTTCGTCTCTTATATCGTTATGAAGAACGGACAGTACGCAGAGCTGCCGCTCAACGTATGTTACCCATCATGTACTAATGGGCGCCCATTCGAAAGGGTGCAATCTGTGCGAAATGCCAAAATGCTGCTCCACGGGCTGGCTACACATAACATACTGAAGTTGGGCAATGTTTACCTCATTGCTCACATGGACAGGGAAGCAAAAGACTTTATCGGTTTGCCGTACTTGGGAGAAAGCACAGTTTTTGTTTTTCCCCCCAAGATGAATCAACAGCTAATTTCTCTTTATAACCAGAGGAAGAGACACATTACGCGTATTCCCAATTTGAATTTAAAAAAAAAACTGTTTTATAAGAAAAACAAACACACAAAAAATAAATTTTTTAGGCATCTCAACAAACTTACGGGGAGAGGTAGCCCCACGTGGAGCCACTTCTGTGAACATAGCAAAATGAAGATCTACAAAAATAAGATGAAAAATTTTGCTCATTTTTTTGTTTTTTTTTTTATGAACATTCAGGTAAAAATTCACCAGCTAGCCAATTCGACGGATAAAAAAAAAACTTTTTTTTTTATTCTGGGAAATGAAAAAAGTGACTACTATGTTAACTCGGTCGAGAAAATACATGCATTGAAGCACTATAATTGCGCAAACCTTTTTTTGTTTTGTTTTGTGTGTGCCACGTTGCAGGCAGATCCAGTGGATTTGTTTTTCCTTATGCAAACGAGCGAGTCCTTTTCTTTGTCAGAAATGGACATGGACTTGCTGCGACTGCTTATGCGCACCTTTTTTTTTTTATGTTAACCCTGGGTGCTTCGCCTGTTCAACGTTGTGGACACGAAGAAGGGACAAACCCAGGCAGAAAACAGGAGGACGAATGCGTAATGGTAATTGCGCGCAGCAAAGCTGCGTGATAATTCTCAAAACAGTGTTGTTATCTTCCAAATGGGAGGGGGTATCCAATTTGACCGCCCCTTTCTGCACGTCTTCATTTTCCCACCCAAAATTGATGAATTAATTCTCCTTTTTTTTGCGCAATGTACTGAGTTATGCTAACCGTTCCCGTGGTACACTTCATCAAGGGGGGCATGCTGATGTCGCACTGTTCCGTCTCATTTGGTCCTAAAACGATTTTCTTTTTGCTAAAGAAAATGCCACATTTATTCATCATCTTCTAGAAACAAATCTGAGATAGCAAAAGCCATATTTTTAAATTTGTATTGTTGCGCAAATTTGTAACACTTTAAAAAAAAAGGGCCACAACGCATGACACATACACGTTGTGCACACATGAACAAAAGAAGCGTAGCTCAAAGAGGCGTACCTTCCAGGGTTTTCATTTGCTGCTCTCCACTCGTCTCATCCATCATATGATCGAAAATATAATCCGCTAGGGAGGTGTAGTCCTTGGCGCTGCAAGGGGGGGGAGGAGAGTGAGGGTCCAACGCAGTTCAGAAGGGGGCACATCTTTGTGTTCTTCCTTCTTTTCCTCTTTTTCCGACGGACATTACCTCGTTACAGTCCCTATGTCCGAAAAAAAAGCCACAGACCCTTTGGACAGGTATAAAATATGGCTACACCATTTTTCCATATAATCGAAAATGTGGGTTGAATAAATGATGATGCAGTTGTGCTTTATGCATTCCCTCTTTAGAAACCTGGAGAATGGGGTATGGCGGTTGGCATGGGGTTGGTACATGTCTCCGTTGGAGTGTGTGTTTTTGCCTCCCTTTAGGGGAAGCACACGCAGGAAGGAAGGTAGGATAACTGCTCAGGTAGTGACACGCACTGCGCACGCATCCGACTGTTCCTACTCCAACAAGAGCTTCCGAGATATCAGGTCCAGCGACTCGGTTGCCTCATCGAAAATGTACACGTCCTTTCTCGTTACCAAGTTAACCAGAATTTGAATTTTTTTTTTTTCCCCCTTAGAGGCGGAAGATATAAGTTTGTCTTCGCTGATTTCGAACAATTTTAGCAGCTTCCTGTACCTCTTCGAGTCTTTGTACTTTGCGAAGAAGTCCTTCACCGTGATGTTCATTGCGTAGTCTGTGAAGGTGGTGGAAAAACAGAGCCCAAGTTGAAGTGGTCCTGGAAATAACCTCCAACTGATTTAACAAAGGCGGCGAGTTCCCCTTTGGCACCATTGTCTCACGCAAAATAAGAACAGGCGCTTTTTTCCTCTTACCGTCGCTCCACCACTCCCCGACGAACCCAATTCTGCTTGACAGCGTGGTGTCGTGGAATGCGGGCTTGTTGAACACCAAAACGGATGCCTCCTGTACGAGCTGTGAAAGGGCGGGGGGCGTTCGTGTGCACACATGTATACATATATATATCCGTATATGCATCCGTGTAGACGTGTATGTGCGCGGTAAGACCGTTGTGACAGCCCCGCTGCGCGCTCGAGCAAAACGGTCCTACCTTCTTGCCTGCTATGATGCTCAATAGGGTGCTCTTCCCTGCTCCATTTTTTCCGCAAACCACAACTCGCATGCCTCGTCCGAACGACAAATTTACATTTTCCAGTGCCGCTGTGCTCGTATTTCCTAGTCGATTGCAATAATTATAACTCAAATCTTTGATTATTATTTCGTTCATTTGGGGCAAAGGGGTCTACAGAAAACGGGGGGTGTTGCCAGTTCCTTGGTCAGGGCGATTAGCCATGTTCTGTCAGTCGTAGTTAGGTACGTGGCAGGTTAGGTTTTCATTACAGTGGGGGCGTTCTCGAGGTTGTTTTACTTTCTTACCCATGTCAAAGCGGCACAGAAAAAAGGAACGGAAAAAAAGGGGGCGACAAAAAGAAGGTTAAGAAAATGGTGCGTTTTGCTTATCTACCTATGAGCAGTGCCCCTTACATGCAGGTGCGATCCCTTTTTTTTTTTTTTTTTTTTTTTTTTTTTTTTTTTTTTTTTGTTTTAGGGGAAGAACGACTCACAACGCTCTGGTTCTGTAGTGCGCGCTTGGTGGTGCAGCGACAGTGCCATAAAGCCCGATTCAAAGCGAAATCATTTTTTCCATGTTAACAATTTTGGCCAACTGGCGTTATCGTACCGGAAGGAGGTATAATCGACATGCTATCCCCTCCATATTGTGCCATTTCCTTTTGCCATATTTTATTTTTTGTTGCTTTTAAAATTGCTTCACTCAGGGCAGGGAGGCGGAAAGATAAGCTCCTCTTTTATAATTGCCCAAAATAGGGAGGATGCATGTCCCCCCTCTTGAGAACCCAAACCCGCACGCATAAAGATACAACAACTGTGGGCAGAGTCGCGTTTTTCCTTTTGAATCGGTCAATCTGGTCGGCGTGAGTGGACAGTTGAGGCAGACTCCTTGACATATACACGCATATGTATTTATATATAACACGGTCACCGCTAACTTAGCCACTCCGTGTGAAATGGCCAAAATGAAGGAGCCTCCCCAATACCGGGTGAACAAAATAAAGGACATCGAAACGCCAGCCACTACCATGCTGACCAATGACATACAACCAGAATATATCAACTTGGAGTTACTGCGAAAGATAGAGAAGAAGAATTTTATCCTGAACTGCCCGCTAGAGGAGGTATACAAAAACTTGGATATATATACAAGGGCGAAAGAACAGTTTTCAAGACATGGAGAAAAAATGAGCAAGTCGTACCTTCACAAATTCTCCGACTTTGAAAACAGCTACAGATATATGAACGTGAGAAATATTTTAACAAATAATTTTTCAATAAATATTAACAAAAATGTGACCTTGAAGCAGAATAACCACACGGTCATATTTTCCATAGACGATTTTTGCAAATGTGTCCATATTTTTGAGCCAGACATTTTTTGCATCCCATCGGAGGAGATAAAAATAAATGAAGAGGTTGGCAAGAAGAAAAAAATACGAATAATAACACTCATGGATGAATTCTTAAAAAAAATAAAAAATGTTAAGGATAACCAAGTGGGTGCAGACTCCGTGTGTATTGTGACCGTGCCATTCACTATCCAATTGGACAAAGACACCATGCAGGAAATGCTAAATAAGCACGACTCTCTTATTGGGGGGTTTATGCTAAGTGGAATTGGTTACGAAGAATCAAATGAAGAGAGAACCTCCCATTTCAAGAGCATTTTAGCTGCTCTACCGACAGACAAGTTAAAGTTTATACAACTAAGTGTAGGAACCCCAATCGAAATTTTACACTCCATTTATCACGGAATAGATATCGTCGAATCGAACTTCCCCTATGAATTGGCAAGAAATGGAAAGGCTATAAATATGCACATAAAAATGGACAAAATGGAAGACAAGTGTATAAACACACTGCACGATATCAACCATATCAATTTTCAAAATAAAGACATTTTTATTATAGACCTAAATGATGCAAAATATGCTTTAGATTATTCCCCCATAACGGATAATTCGCCGAGAAATGAAACGAAGTCTTATATACACCATTTGCTCAAGTGCCAAGAGCTCACCGCAAATGTCGTTTTGTCTTACCACAATCTGTACATGTACAACTCGTTCTTTCAAGAAATTCGAACGCAAATAAGAAGTGGTAATTTTCTTAGTTACATCAGCTGGTTCGTCGAGCGACACCAACTGGGTTAGAAGAAAGTGCTCGCTTTTCCTGCACTCCCCTGCAGGTTGAGCGATGGGCTAGGGAGAGGTGAAAATATGGGCAAATTGATTGAAGCGAGTAGAGCAAAGAATGATGCATCTGCCGTTCTCCCACAACTTGTCCCGTCCCAAATGAACATTGTCCAAACATCCCCCTTTATAAAGCGCGTACTTATTCTTTCCCCCAGACGCGCAGCATTTTTGTTTGCATTCGCCTTCTTTTCCCCGTTTTTCGTTCCTTCGAACGATACCAACATGTTAACAGTTTGTTTGCGTTACATTTGTGTCTTGTCCCATTTTTTGAAGAACTGTTTTCATTTTTTGGCAAATCCCCTTGGCTACTTTAATTTAATTCAATTTAATTCAATTCAATTTTGCTTCCCTCAGTGGTGCAATAGGGGAGGGGACATACGGCCTCTACACACAAAAGGTGCGTTGGCACGGTTCCCCCCCAGGGAACTTTCCTTCGGTAGATCCACGCCCCCCGTGCTGCATTCCCCTGCTGCTTTGAGCGAAGATTTAGAATTACTTCAGGTAAAACAACATAATAGTTGGCTTACGTTAAAATGGATGAAAAACTTTTTATGAATAAAAAAAGGGGGGGGCGCGTCTGCGCAGACATGCACACATATACGTAAGTACACACACACAAACAGGCACTCAGATTTGCGCGCTTGTGTGCAACAACAGGAACACGTCTGCATTAGCATTCGAATGGAGATATGAAAAAACAGACACATGCGCGAATACACACGCTCTCATACACATATACATACGCATGGGTAACCAGCTACTTGGCTATCATCATTTTGACGAACTCCTCGTAATTGATCTGGCCATCTCCGTCAATGTCCGCTTCTCGTATCATTTCGTCCACTTCCTCATTGGTGAGCTTTTCCCCCAAGTTGGTCATCACGTGTCTTAGCTCATCTGCACTTATGTATCCGTCCCCGTCTCTGTCGAAAACTCTGAAGGCCTCAATTAGTTCCTCTTCCGTGTCTGTATCTTTCATTTTTCTCGCCATCAGAGTTAAGAACTCGGGGAAATCGATGGTTCCATTTCCGTCTGTATCTATTTCGTTTATCATATCTTGCAATTCTGCTTCGGTTGGATTTTGCCCCAGTGATCTCATGACCGTCCCCAATTCTTTGGTTGTTATAGCTATTCGAGGGGAAGGGGGGGAAAAAAAAAAAAA